CTTTTTTTTTTTTTTTTTTTGCAGTACTGGGGCTTGAACTCTGGGCCTACACCTTCAGCAACTCCACCAGCCATTTTTTCTGACGTTTTTTGAGATAGGGTCTCATGAACTATTTGCCCAGGTTGGCTTCAAACCGCGATCCTCCTGATCTCTGCCTCTTGAGTAGCTAGGATTACAAGTGTAAGTCACCAGTGGCTCTATCCTCTTTTCTGAAGCTGCTGTCACTCACCAAGCTCAGTACAGAACCTGTTTGACCTCTTAGCCACATGGGTTTCTTGACCAAACTCCCGGTATTCTCCAGCCATGGGTTTCTTTGGCTTTTGTGGCCACTCTTTATTATTATTATTATCATTCTTGTTGTTGTGCTGGGTGGGGGTACACTGTGGCATTTACAAAAGTTCTTACAATGTATCAAATATGTTGTACTTGAATTTCCCCCCACCTTGTGGCCACTCTTATGACTTGCATCTCAGCAGTGACTACTGAACTACTTGCAGGAGTATTCTTTTTCCCCAAAGACCACTATCCTTAACCTTAACCATTACTTCTTGTTTGTTTGGTGCTGTTGGGCACTCTACCAGGTACACCACACATCCAGCTCATTAACCATTACCTCTTACCTGCATGAACATGTTGGTTTTTTAAAAGGGTTCACTACCCAGATGATCTTCCTCAGGCCCAAATCACACTATAGCACTTTGCTGTAGACGACCTTCCCAGAGTTCCCAAATCCCAGCTTTCTAGTGTGGCCCACAGGACTGCTCCAAAGTAGCCACTCCCAGCCCATCTGAAGTCTAGCCCTCAGCAGCCTTAAGCCATTAAGAACTCCTTAGGTGTCTGGCAATGGATGTAGCATGCTGTCCCCTGAAGCCACTGGTCTGCATGTGCCACTGCCACAACCCTTACTGGACAAGGTTGAGTCCCAACAGGTAAACCTGTCCTCTCATGCACTGTCTTAAGCTTGCTGGGGCTTTGGGCCTCTATACAGGTCTGACTCCTCCACTGGATGGGGAAAACCCACAGGCAGCAACAGGGCCTTACTCTTTTTTTTCTCCAGATGGATACATGCTTGTAAGGCAAAAAGTCTCCTTCCCTGACAGTCCCTCTTGCCCTGTCAGTTGTAACTGCAGAGGGTCCCCACCCTAGCCTGTCCTCTCAGAAACAAGGTCCACCAAAGACCCATGCCTAGACTCCACTGGAGCCTCTTCCTTTTAGCACCAGCCCCAGTGGCTTCTTATGGGACACCCCTTACTGACATGTACCAGCTCCAGAGTTTACAACTGTCATGTGCACACATGCTAAGCTCTATAGGGCAGGGACTTGGTCTTCCTTGTACACTGGGGAACATCAGCTCCTCAAACAGGTAGCACACAGGACATGCTCAATGGCTACAGGCTGAATTTTCAACCCTTTCATCTAACATTCAAGGCTAGGACTTAGAGGGTATCTTCTTGCAGGTGTGCCCATATTTACATGTGACCTGGACTCCAAGTCAACCCATGGTCCCACTGTTCCATGCCATTGCCTCTCCTCAAGCTCATTACCAGCCTAATGAGGACAGCTGTGGCACAAGTGAGCAGCTGCTGACAGCCCATACTCTTATGGGAGGCCAGTGACAATAGGGTCCCTTTGGGCAGTCCCTCAGCATGCCCTTGCCTGGTCTGGGAGCCAGGTTATTTGTCAGAAGAGGCCATGTGAAGGTCTCGACTGGTCTGGATCACAGGAGTCAGGGCTGTGTGTGTTTGTGTATGTGTGAGGGGGTTTGGGGGAGGGGCAAAAGCACCATGGCACATCAGAATCTAGGAAGTGTCCCTGACGTACTGGTCAGGAAGAGGAAAGTTGTGCTGCACGCAGACTTGTACTAGGCCCTCCCCGTCCATGCTGGAGCAGGGTGCCTGGAAGCACTGACAGCGAGTAAGCCAGAGAGGATGCCAGGGAGACTAGCATATGAAGTGGGCTTCCCTTCCCTCCCACGGCAGTACTGACAGTGGCTATCAGTGTTCAGAAACAGCTGGATCAAAAGAGCAAGCACACCACCATACTGTCAGGTGAGGTGGAGGGGACTGCTGACTTACAATGAAAGCCCAGACCTTGAGTCACTTTCACAGAGAGATTTATCGAGAATGCTAACAGCACAGGATACAGTACTTCCCAACAAAAGGTGCAAACGCATCACTTAGAAAGGCATGCTGAGTATTCTTTGCTTTCACATGTATTAAAAAACTTACAAAAATAAAATAAAACTGCGTGCTGCCCATCTTTTCAAATAGTAAAAGAACCTTATGAAAAACCACTTGATTTTACAACAAAAGACACAAACGGACATTTTTATGTAAATTTATAAGGCAAACTCTTTATATAATAAATAGGTTACAGGGATTCAGTGGGGGTGTTTGGAAACGTATACAGGTACATTCAGACAGGTTTACTGAAATGGTACAAATTTCCTTAATAAATTGCCTTTTGTTTTTAAATATATCAGTGCTTTCAGTCATTTGGCTATACACAAAGAACCTTTTTTGAACACTACAAAAAAGCAATCAATATTTTTGTTTTTAAAACGACCTACTTATTTTCTAAAGTAATTGTCCCAAAACACAAAAACTGAAGGTGAATGCGACAGAGGGCTTTTCAAGACCCCTCCAGGTAAGTCTGTCCTGGGTCTCTCCCCATGCCCTATGCACCCTGCTCCCAACCTCAGGCAGGCTTTCAGGATGAAGCTGGCTCCCTTCAACACAGGGTGGTCTGTCACTGGCAGCACTGTCTCTCAGATCTCGGCCTTCAGGCTGACAGAAGGGAGTGTGACTTGAACTTGGAAGTGGGCAGACACCCTGTCTGGTTCTTCCAGGTACTAAACTCCATGTGCAAATGGTCACTACAGGCAGTACTGTCCTCACCTGAAGCACTAAGGGAGCACAGATCTGTCCCTGTTCTGTGAGCCCAGAACAATCCGTAACAAGGGTGACGGCTTCACTGAGAAGGATCTGTTTGTCATGGAAAGGGAAGGGGGTGTCTAATGTAAAATTTTTTGGGTATCAAATGACAGCAAAGAAAGAGAGGAAAAGCGAACTCCCTCTGCTGTCATTTTACAACCCTGGAACAGTGGGGAATAGCAATGTCATTAGTGCTGTGCACACGGGGACAAGATGGGGTGTGGCAGAAGTGTCCTGACTGATAATGCCCTATGGGCATGCCTTGGAGACAAGAATGCCCACTCCCTAGCCTTGTCCAGAAAGAGCTGCATCAGGCAGGAAGTAGCCAATCCACCTGCCAACCCATCCCTGACCTGTGCCCACAATAGGGCATCTGACCACAAGCTTAGGGCCAAACCTCTCCCCCTCCCTCCCTTTGTTTTCAGCTAGGTCAGCTCTGCTCTCACATCTCCTCCTGGCTCTCCTCAAGGAACATCAACCTTGTCTTTCCTTAAAAACAACAATGGAGATAATAATTTTTTTGGGGGGGAGCTCAAAGAATCCAGTGGATGAGACAAAAACTGGTTTTGCTCTGACTTTGAAAATGGCAACACATCAGCTATTCAGTCTGTTGGCTTGGAATGGGACCCGGGCTTAACCTCTTTGGGTGGTTTCTGGATGATCTGGGAAAGGGTCATCTCTTCAGATCGCCCCTCTTGTCTTAGTCACCATTCCCCTCCCTCCAAATGCTTTGTAAAGAAAAGGTGTCTAGAAGCATTTGTCTCTGGAACAATTACTTTAAACATGGTTACAATACAGACTTCAGTTCAAACACAGAAGAGATTTACTTAGCAAAGTTCCTTTCACCCACCAAAAATTACACAAATATAAGCCTCAACACCACAGTTAAGAGGACCAGTAGAGAGAACCTCATGTTTGGAACACAAAAGGAGAAATAAAAACCAAACCAAACCCAAACAGAAAAACCCCAGAAAGACAAGGAAAGGGCGAGGAAGGAAGGGGAAGGAGAGCAAACACAGCACACATTACAGTGTCCAGGTACACGGGGAGCCCCGCACGAGGAAAGGGCTCGGCACACATTGAATAACAGTCCTGGTGATATTTGGTCATATATTCAACTACTGACTCTGGAGCGGCTGTTATTGATTGAAGCAGTGACAAGTCAAATGGTAAAGGAGGCCGTGGTAGCAAGGGAAGGAGCAGGCTTCAAGTTCTGCAAGCCTTTTGTACTCCACTGTCCAGCTCCCCAGAAACACTGAACTGGGTGGGCCCTGCTCCATCCGGGCGGGGCTAGAGGTCACCGGGTGAGGCTAACTTGGGCGCTGATTTCACATCAGTCACAAAGCACGCATGTGGACACATCGTGGTCACCCACCTGTCAGTGGCTGAACAGCAGCAACAGCCTCTTGCCTCCATCCCAGGCTCACTGGGAAAGTCAGTCTCGACCCACTGCTAATACTGATCGCATGCTGGAGCAGTCCCTGGGACATGCGCCCAGAGGCTGCCCCAGCCCCGGGTCCTCCAGAGTAGCCCAGCCAATCAAAGGGCCTATGACTGTCTCTGTTGGATTCTGGCCTCAGAATAAGCAATGATAGGGAGGGGGATAGATCTTGGCCCTGGTGATTATAATGCTCTCTGCTTTGGAAGAACAAGTTTCTGGATTTCATTTTTTGGTGTTTTTAATTACTTAAAAATGATCAAAAAGAACTGTTACAGCTAAACTTTCTAGCAGATATTGCTCATTAAGAATTACAAAAGCAAATGCAATTACTCATGGGGGGTGGAGAAGAGAAAGGGATGTTTCTGGAGTCTTCACTACTTCCTGGAGGGAACCCACTGGACTGCTGTATGTGGTTCTGGGGTCTCAGGCATTCTACCTGGTACAGTTCACCAGTTTGGAGACAGGCCAGGCCTCCTCCCATTTCCCCTCCAGCCTCTGGACTCAGCAAAGTGGGGAGGTCATGTTTCGAGCCCTGCCAGTGGGGAGATTTGCCAGGCTGACTGCACACGGGCTCACCCTGGTCAGATCACTGGGAGGGGTTGGGGGAATCGCCCTCCCTGTGCATGTCAGCTTCCCACCCCCAAGGTGGAGGGGACCAGGCTGTGTGTGCCAACTAGGGTGACTTCAGGTCAAGGGAGTGCACCTGCTGAGGTGAACTGTCCTACACCCAGACTCTTGGAACCCCTTTCACAAGTACAGGAGAAACAGAGTACAAAATCTGGGTGCTGCCTGGAGCCTCCTTCACTTGGCACAGGGAAGCCCTTGAAAGAAGCAAGTAAAGACCACAGATCTGCATGGACAGAAGAAGTGACCAGCAGACAGATTTGTCTTTTTTTTCTTTTTTATTTTCCCTTGTCCTATACTATGGTTATCAGAAATATTATAATTAAGCAACAGGAATAATTTTAACAGGTCTTTTTTTGTGTGGAGCCACAAGCAAAATGAGTTTATAATTGTGCAATATACAGATATATATATAAAAATTCAACTGCTTTGTGTGTCTAGTTGGTGCATAAAATAAAAGGGAGAGGAAAACTAAAAGCAAAATTGAAAAGCAAAACAAAAGCCCAGGATAGAGGAGACAAAGCGGCCTATGCGTATAGTCTATAAGTTACTGGATATAATCAGGGTCACCAGGAAGAACAGCTTTGCCACTTGACACACAAACACTGCGGGGAGAGGGACTAAAAGTGGGCAGGAGCCAAACCTCTTGGCCTTTTCACTGCATTTGCTCTCATTGCTGAGTAGGACCTGATAAAAGGTAAGATGGGGCAGGGGAGAGCAAAAGCCATTCGCAAGTTGCCCAAATGTTCTTAAATTTAAAGGCCCAGACTGTTCCTCGAAGTCTCGGCTCTGCCTGTGCCCTCCCTCCCTTGCCCCAGGGGCTCTCATGCCTCCTAAGAGGGTGGGCAGAGTGGCTTGGGGAGGCAGCGAGAGGCTCTGGGGTGATGGGCAAGTTCAGAAGGGAGTGCTGGGGTGCTTGTCACACAACCATTTCATCTGTACCCAAGACCCCTCCAGGGGAGCAGAGCAGGAGGAATGCAGAACTAGAGGACCCTTCTAGTTCCCTTGGTAAAACTTTTCCTGACAAATGAGCTCCGGGGCAGGCTGTCAAGATGAGGAGAATGGGAAATTGGGTGGTGCTGGGCCTTCTGCATCACACTAGTGAATGTTCTCTTTCCTACACCAAGAGCTGCTCTCTTGAAGCTTTGGGACCAGGTAGGCCATTAGCTTCCACACAACCCCCAAAGGACAGGGTCAGAAGCTGTGTCCTTGGGGACAGCTACCCAAGGAGTGACTGGCTCTCCAATGATAAAAGGCTCCGAGTCTCAAGTGGTCCCTGGTTCCACCTCAGATGCAGGAGGCTTCAGGCTGGAGTTCCCTTTGCCTGTAACACTCACCAGACATCTCAGGCCAACAAGTACTAAGTATTTTTAGATCAGCATTTTTGCAAAAGCTTGCTCTTATTCAGAAACATCAAAGTGTAATTTTCTGTCAAATATTTTCAAGGTTTTCCTTCTAAACTGTTGAGAACTGGTTTCAGTGTTCAATTTTTCCCCTTTACTACGTAATTTTAGACCTTGGGGGAGGCAGTATCCTAGCGATTTATACCAATTAGACTAAGCCTTTTCTAAAGATTGATATAGTATCTAAAAGAGAAAGACAGCAAAATGGAGAGAATCAACAAATCCCTTCAGAGTGGAGCTGGCTCACTGAAGCAGAGAGCAGGCAGGAAGAGTAGGAAGAGGACAGGAGGGAGCAGAGAGCTTGGCCGAGGCACGGGGCACTGTTGCATCTGTGCTGGCCCTGCCCCTGCAGCAGGTTCCCTAGGTCCCCTTCGACTGTCAACTTTGCTATGCCACGGTCCCCAGGGCTCTAGAAACTGCAGGCACGAACCTGAATCAGGAAACAATCTGGGGCAAAGACACAGGCTACCATACGATGCACAAAGGTCTTCTCAAGGAACCAGAACCTGTGACCTCCCTCAACCCAGTCAGCCCAGAAAGCCTGGCTGGAAGGCTCCAGAAAGGGTCTGTAGTTACAGGGCAATACAGAGCTCTGGCTGCTGGGCTCCACTTGGGCGAAACAAAATCTGATTGGTCCCACCTGGGAGATTCAGTTCATACCCTTTTGCTCTTCCCTGGGCTTGAGCCACTTGTTAGAAGTTATTTAAAATCCAAGTCCTATCAGCTGAGGAAACTCCTTCCGCCACCAAACTTAGCGGTTTGTTTTTGGTTATTACCCTCTTTCACATATTGTCACAGCGACGACAACCTGGGCAGGGAAGCAGGTGACAATTGGGGGCTGCTTCGGTTCCCATCTTCAATGTTCATGGCCTCCAGCCTGGAATGATGCCACTGAACAGTGTTACCTGCACCCACAATGGGGTCATAGCTTTCACCATTCTGTGAGCTGAGAGGCTGGGGCCCTTGGCTAGTCTGGCACTGATGGACTGGGGGATATGGTATTTGTAGGCATCCCCTGTGCCTTTTGTTATAGGAATACAGCACCAACAGAAGGGAGCTGTATTAGAGTCTGGCTGTGGCAAAGTGTCCCCAGCTCACTGCATTGTCAGGACTGACAATTTCACTGGTTATGACAGACCTACCAAGGGACAGGGCAGGGTCAGACCAGGTCGGTCATACCCAGGAGTAGCTGGAGGATTATCAGCATTCGGTTGGGAGAGGAGGTAGTAACTAACAACTAGAACAGGGTGAGGGAGACTGGATATGACCTTAAGGACCTAGCCTCAGCTATCTGAAGGCTGATGGTCAGTTCCTGTGTTCTTTACATATTCACTGAAAGACATCACTTCATAACATTCAGGTACAGATAAAGTCACGGTCACACCCTAAATCTGGGCCAGTCACAGCTGGTGAGAATTCCATGGCTTAAGGCTTTCCCTCCAACCTTTTGTCAATCTGACCCCAAGATAGGGGCAGCCTGGGAGTGACAGGGCCCCTAGCTGCCAGGGCGATAAACTACCAAAGCTGCCTGCTTAAAGGCAACTGACTCACAATGCCTTCATTTGGGGAAAAAGGCATGGGGAAGGAAGAGGGAAATGGAGAAACCCTAAAGAGCTAGCTGGAGCACCACCTGCAGTTTTAGAACCAACTCTAAGAGAAAGCAGCAGGGGATAGAGGGAGATGCAGGTAGCGCCCAACGGAAAGAAAATGACACCTGAAATGCTGTGCTCCCAACCCCGAGTGCCTAATCAGCCCAGGCAGCAGGAGGGCCTGGTGGCTTCTAAATGTCTCTTCCCAGGACAAGGTGGCACTCTGCTCAGGAGCCATGTCTCATTGGATTAATGTAACACACAAAAACCCAGCTAAGCACAAAAAAACATCTTCTTGGTGACAACTGGGACAGGTGTAGTGCTTGCACGGATAGGTGTCTTCTGGGGGTGCTTGGAGTACAAGGCCACTGCGGGACAGGGACCTTTTGTCCTTGGAGGAAAAAGAGTTCCGAAGGACTTGTCCTGGACCCCCAGAGCCCCTCCTCTGACCCCCCCTTCTCTTTCTGAGGGGAGGAGTCAGAAGTGACGCTGGGAGGAACAACAGCAGAGTGGGCAGAAGGGATGGAGATTGGTTGATGGGAATCTGGTTGTAGGGCTTGCTTTTACAGCATAAGGAAATAGATACAAATATGCTAGAAAGTCCAACTATGACTCTACGAACAGAATGGGGCAAAATCCCTCACTTCTAACCATTCCAGAAGAGACAACACAGTTTTATCTTAAGCTACTGATTGGAACTGTCAACTATGGTTCCTGATCACTAAAGACTGGCAAGGATGTGCTAGACAGTTTCTATGATGTTTAACTCCTTCATGATTACACTGCAGAAGGGAAGCCAGGGGACACTAACTGAAATACACAAGACAACACGCACTTGACAGTTCATGGCAGCAGCTCACATGGGATGTGCCTGTGGGTGTTCTGGAAGCATAAGACTGCTGTCTCATTTGCTACTTTGATAAGGTACTTCTCAGTTGGACAGATTTAGATATGAGACATCTCTGTAAACACAGAAAAGGATATACCAATATGATGAAGATATGCAGCTAGATAAGGACTTCCTGAACAGAGGTTAAAACTCTGGGATCCCAAATGAAAATTAATTAAAACCCCATAGCAAGGCAAAGCCGTTAAACCCCCATACCACACGCACGGAGCAGAGATCACAAAATGTGTGGCGTGCCGGCCCTGCCCAGTCTCCAGGGAGCAAAAGCAATACAGTTTTACTAGAGGGACTTTGTGGAGGAAAAGGGGAACAGAGGGAGGGCTGGGGGCCCAGGTGCCACTCCCAGCTTAGTCTCGAGAGTCTGCATTTGTCCCACAAGCTAACCTGCCACATTATGCTAGACACTAGACTTCTGAGTGGGGCCAAGGATGGTGGACATGAAGCCCATTGGGCTACTCAAGGATTAGCAGGCCACAATGGGTCCTCTATGCCTCCTTTAGCTACCAAAGGTGGCCCAGCTTCTCTGAGCCACTTCTCTACAGTAGAAGGGTCGAAAGGCTCATTGTTCAGGGTCTGAAAAGCCTTTTGCCTTTTTCTTACCAGGGAAGAAGGGGGTTACCTAGGAGAGCAAGACTTGTTGCTCTCTTGCTCTTCACAGAGCCCAGGGTTTCCTCAGGGCTCAGACATGGTGAGGCTGGTGCTGGCAGTGGGAAGGCAACAGGGCAGGGAGAGTTCTAGGGGCTGGAGCCGACTAGTGTCAGCTCAGTGTATAGTTGGGCACTGCAGCTGCCTGGAACAGAAGGGATGAACTAGGAGGTAGGGCTTTGGAAGGAAGAAAGGGAAGAAATCATAGGAAGGCAGAAATGGAAGGACAGAAGAGAAACCAATCAGGAAGTCCTTATAAAATTGCAGCAAACACTTAGAGTTTCGGAGCTTCGTGGGAACCCTATGTGCTGAGCCCACTTTAAAACAAGCGCAGGTATATACAGATCCAGGTAGTTCTGAACACTGTCACGTCTGGTGGCTTGAGGGACAAAGTGTCACCAATTCAAGCCAGTTTGCTTCTGTTTGTTTTGAAGTGGGAACATGAAGACTCAATAGTGCAAATAATTCTAAGCTGTCCCTAGAGGAGAACTGGAAAGTAATTGGAAGAACGTTTTTCCTCTCCTCCCCCCTTGCTCCTTGTCCCGTCCACTAAGTCCCTAACTACTACTCACAGGCTGCTTTGAGCGACTAGAAATCTCTCTTGCCCTGTTGCAGCGGGCCCGGCATGGCCCTGGGCCAGCCTGCCTACTCTTTGTCCTGCTGCCTCCATGGACTCTCTCTCGTGCCACCCACTGGATGACGTGCCTTGAGAACAGGTGATGCTATCTCACCCTGGGCCATCCTCTCCTGTGGCTCAGGTCAGTCTACACCCAGCAGTTCAGGACCCCTTCTAGCCATGCCAGAGCTGGAGTAGACAGGTGCCACTTTCCTGTCATGTAAAATGTCCTTGTCAGTTTTGGATTGGGGTTGGTGTGGGGCCTGACTTGTGCCGCCACGAGCGGGATCATGTGGGCCATAGCCACTGGCCATCTCCGTCATCTTCACTAAAGAATCCAACGGTTTCTCTTGCCTCACATCTCCCTGTCCCACTGTGGCTGGGAGTGAGGGGTAGTGGGGGAACTGGGGGAGCTGTGGACGGGGCACCAATGGCACCGAAAATGGGAGTGTCCTCTCAACTGCTCTCTGTCTCTAACGAGCACATGGGGAAAGGGTGTGGGTGGGAGGGGAGGTGCCTGGTCAACAGCTTGTCTGGTCAGTAGTATCTGCAGCAAGCCTTGTTGAAGGAGCCTAGTTTAGAAAAGTGCAAAGCTACTTCTGGCCCTGGTTAGGTCTTCAACCTGACTGTGCTTGTCGATAAGAAAAACATCCCCAATGCTCCAACTACTCCCACCCTGAAGCCACGAAACTCTAAGTTTACTGAAAGAAAAAAAAATATTTTTTATTTCAGTTAATCGGGAAGCTTTGTCAGAGCCCTACCCATAAGGAGAAGAGACAACAGCTGCCTTTATTCTTGTTGGTTTGCTTTGCAATCCGCTCTGTGTAAAGTCAGCTAACTCTCTCGGTCACGGGCGTCCGGCTGTCCACAGGCTCCTCTCTGTTTGGCCTTGGCATGGAGGATGAAACAATGTCTTTGCGCTCTCCCTCCCCTCGGTGTTTGTACTTTTCTGCAGCTGTGGCGGCGGTAGCAACCGCGGGCTGAGTCTTAGCTGGCTCCTTGGGGCAGCCGTCGCTCTCCAGCGAGCCTCCTCGGGGCATCTTCTCCTCTTTGCAGACACTGCTGCTTAAGTCCTGGGGCTCAGGGGGGCTGGTGGGGTCCTCAGAGCTCTCGGGCTCAGGCAGGGGTGGGGGCGGAGGTGGGAGCAGTGGCACAGGGGCCTTTGGGGACTCTGAGTGGTGGTGGTGATGGTGGTGCTCCTTCTTGGGGGGTGAGGAGGCGCTGCTGCTGCGACCCTTAGGGCTGCTCTCTTTGCTTTTCCGTCCAGGACTCTTGCAGGTCTTCAGTCCCTTCCCGCTCTTCTCACCAAGGGTGGACACCAGCAGGGGCTTCACCACTTCCTTGACCTCAATGCTGACTGTCTCCCGGGTCTTGCGCTTCTTGATGGGGAGCACGGTCTCCTGCACAGACCGGATGGAAGACTCCTTCACGGCTTTCTTTTTGGCCTCGGCGGCAGCAGCTGCCACCACACTCCCTGGCTTTCTGCCCCGTTTCTTGGGAATGGCCTGGGGATCAGCCTCAGCCTTTCTTTTCCTTCCAGGGCGTTTGATCACCATGACCTGGGCAGAAGTGGTAGCCCCACCCCCCTCGCCTTTGCCTCCAGGCGAAGCTTGGAAAGGCATCTTGACAAGGAGTTTCCCGGGGCTTTTCTCCAGGACCCTTTTCACCTGAACACCTTCTGATGCTGCAGCCTTGGGTCTCCCAGTGCCGCTCCCTTTGGGGCGTCCCCGACCTCTGCCAGTTCCTGGAGCTTTGGGAGATTTAGGCTTCTTAGGTGGTTTCTGCTCTCGCCGGGAGGGGCTCCCTCTCCCAGTTACCGTGAAGTCAAAATCATTAGGGTCCAGGGAGGTGTCGCCTACCTTTTCGAAGTATGCAATCAACTCCACTTTAGAGCGAAAGGCTTTTCCTTGGGGACTGTGGGGACAAATGGAGAGACACAAAAAACAATCAGAAGCTTCCCACGTCAATGTCAAAGTTGGGGCAGAGTGGATGATGCTGATGAGGTCTCTGATAGACATTTCAAGTGAACAAAAGTCACACTGAAGAAAAGCCAAAATGAGCTAAAAACTAGAGGGACACAACCAGGTCAGAGCAGTGCACTGCTGCATAAGCAGCAATCAGATCATTGGGGCACTGGGCACCTGTATGGCCTGCGCAGGTGCTGGAACAGCTAAGTATTGGCTGCTCAGCAGCTGTTGCCTGGAAGCCCCCGAGGACCTGCTTGCCACCAAGGCTGCTCCTTTGGACTCCCTGGGCCTTTTCACCCAAGGGAGCACATGTGGTACAGCAAGGGCCATCACACTGGGGTGTACTCTGATTGTTGCTGCCGGGCCTGATTCGCCATCAAGACATTTCTGTGTCTGAGCCTGGACATGGTGCTTAGCCTCTTCAGGAATCTGTTTCAATACAATAGTGCTTTGCTCACACTTCTTAAGAGTTGTGGAATTAAATGAGGTTGTCCACAAACATACTCTGAAAATTTCTAGCTTTTCTGGGATCATTTAAAACTGAGATGTGTTGCTTTATTGCTTCAACAGAAAATAGGCAGCTGTCGGTCCAAAGTTAGACAAATGCAAAAGTGACAGTGGTAAAGGCACATGAAGCCTGTTTTTCTTTCCAGAGGTCTTAAGAGAGCACGCCTTTCCCAACACTGATTTGCAGAGGAAAATAAAATCAGAATAGGTTTTAGTGCTATTCCTTCTCCAGACAAAGACAAAGGTATGGTGAAGGTAAAAGGCCTGCTATCCTGAGGCAGGGTAGCAGGGCAGAGACCCTAAGCATATATAGTTTCAGTGTTCACTACTCAAGTGCCCCCACCTCCATAGGGTTACACACATAAACTTTTCTGATCAATGAGCAGCAATAAGCCGTCATTCCAATGGATCTCTGTCCCCTGCCTCCCGCCCACTTCACTCTCCCCGCCCTGTAGACAGGACTTACTCTTACTTACTTGATTAAATACACATCATACTTCCCAGCAGAGCGGCCAGACTTCCTTTGCTTAAGCTTTCTTGTCCAACCTTCAGGGAGGGTGGGATCATCATACATGGGTCCCCGGTCACGAATGATGGAGCGCCGTTGTTTGGGGGAAGCAGAAGCTTCTGGCACGGCTGGCGCGGAGCCCGAACCTTCTGATGTCTCGGCTTTTCCTGCCTCAGCTGGCTCTGCAGAGTGGTGGGCTGATGGCTGCAGAGGCTCATGCTTGCCCTCTTTGTCTTCTTTCTTATCTTTCTTCACCTTTTTAAACTTCAGGGGTTTGTCCTTGAGACCCTGTAGATCCTGGTCTTCCGACTTTTCTTCCCTGAAGTGTTAAACAAGTATGTATGTAAGTATTACAGAGAACACACCGTGGTCTGCAGAAGGTGAGTGAAGGGAGGCTTGGCTTGGGTGCCACACCATAAGCGAGGCCCCAGGCTGTTATATACTCAGATCTTGGTGACTTTCCCAGGACAACATATCCTTGGGTTAGGCTGGGCCCAAAGATTTCTTTAAGAACTTTTGGGTTGCTGGTGGTGTTGGCCACGTACACTTAACCTGCACCATACCACTCTGTGTCCTACTCCTGGCATTTTAAGAGTGAATGACCTGCACAGGTGTCTTTCTTCTGAGTACAAGCACTGTGTGGCTTCTCAGTGTGTCACTTTGGCAGAGGCCAGTTTATGGGGCCCCTGGGCTTGTCAGATGACAAGAGGCTCTCTACCGCTGGAAAGGGAGCTGTCCACCCAGAATGGCCTTCAGGAAGGCCCAGGTTTGTGTGGATTTTTGGTTTTCTCAAATCTGTTAACCCTCCTATCAATTTGTGCTCAGTAAAACCAGCATGTGAGGCATAGTACAATTTGCTGAAAGAAACATGGAACAGCACAACTCCCTGGGAGGTGGTACACAGAACAGCGTCATGAAAAGAACACACAGGATTAGAGCCAGTCAACCTGAGCTCAAATCCTGACTTTGTTACTTTCCAACCATGGACCCAAGCAAGCGACTCCAGCATTCCATGCCTCAGTTTCCTCAACTCTACAATGGCTAACCCCTTCCAAGAGGTATCTTTACTGTGAGAATCATGGAAGAGAAAGTACAAAGGCACTAAAATACTAGCAAACTCAAACAACCAGCAACTGTTGCCCAGTTCTAGTATGAGAAGGGATCACAGGTCATGTGGGCCTTTACCACAAGAGACTTCCTTACAAGGAACAGCCTTGGCCTCAGGAAACATGGGAGGAAGTGCAAGGAGAAAGGTGCAGTCCAGACAGAGCAGTGCATCCTCTTTATGCTAGCACAGAAGGGTACCCACGAGCACCGGTCTCATTCTAGGGCACGACACCTGCCCACTCTTTCATGTGGACAGAAGCAGCAACTTCTGTATGTATTGGTTTAGCCTGGTAGGGTCCCCTCCTCATGTACTTTAGGAATCAGAGTCTGGCTGTGATGCTCCAAGGAGACACGGTGAGATCTCCATGACTGTAGAACCTAGCAATGTTGTGCCACCTGCACCTGTGAGCTACAGGCTGGGCAGCATAACCATTCCTTTCCCCTGTATTCTCAACCCTGGAGTTCCCTGTCCCACATGGCTCAAGTCAGGGCTAGTCACTACCTCAAGGCTAGTCTACCCCAAACAACTTCCCCTCTTGTCTACATTGGTGAGACTACAATGAATGTACTATTATGCACTAGCACACACCATCAGAAAAACTGGATGTCAAACGACATGGGTAGGCCACCAAAGACTGGTTAGCTCTGGGAATAAGAAGTATGTGGACGAATCTTTCCAGAACAGCCAGGTCAGGTGTGGGAAGGTAGCAGTGGCTCCCGTCAAGTGACGAGGTTCTAGTGAGAGAACACCTCAGCCTCACTCTGGCTTGCCTCTAAGTTTCTCTTTATCCTGTATCTTCCTCTAGCAATTTAGGGCCCAAAGTGGGGCTGCAGAGGTCACCTAAAGCCATTCTCTATACTAATGCATCTCCCAGTATATGGGTACCTTTCCTAGCTAGAAGGTGGGTGTCCCTAACCTGTGCCAGCACACGGCTTACTTTTCATGTCTCCAAGTCTCGTCACTTCAATGTAAACCCCCAGGACCCTGCCTAATGCCAGGGCTGTTCCCTGGAACCAGGACACTCCTGGAGTTTGAGAAAAACACTGGATTAACATGAAAGGCCAGCTTCTTTGAAACTCTTACTTGTAATTCTTGAATACCTTAACCACTACAAGGGCAGGGAGAAGCTACATGACCAAAGGAATGCCTTCTAGAAATCTACTCTGAGGAGATACCTCTGGAAATGCCAAACAACTACACAGAAGACTGATGATCCATCAGCTCCTTGTCACCAAGGGACTTGGTGAATAAACTATGGCATGCCTACACTCTGGAGGACCATGCGGCTAAAGCAGGATGACTTGCTTCAAAATTCCAGAAATGTTTTAGCATATGGTACCTGTCGTGCAGAAATGAAGAATAAGGGAAGGATAGACCAGAAAGTAATGAAGCCATCAGCTGGCTTGGAGGCAGGTAAGAACACAGTAAGGAACCTTGCTAAACACTTCTTGGCATTTAATTTTGACTTCTGAATCATGTGACTGTTTATATAACCAGAAATAAAATGAAAAGTAACGAAGTCCCATTATATCACACTGATGCAAATAAGAATAAATGGGCTGAACACTAATGAATTGATACCACACTGCAGAGAAAACATTTTAAGTAACTTCTGACCACAGCGCTCTGGACACCTGTAGTGGGACACATTCCAAGGCCAACAATGATACCTCAGGGGTAGTGCACATACCAGATTGCCTCCTAGGAGAAATGGGTGATACTGGTTCTGGGACATCTCGTAATACAGAAAGCTGGGGTGGAGTATAAGATGGAGAGCAGGGAGGACCCATGACAAACCTTTAGTAGTGGCTCAGGCATGGCCCAGGGTAGAGGCAGCAAGGGATTTGCAATTTGGTTGACTGGTGTGGGGCAAGGTTAAGTTAAGGGCCATGTTAAGATCTGGGAAGTGGTGCCACTGACTGGGACAGGAAGACGGAGCAAGGACGGTTATAAAGGGGTGGGGGCACCCAGTTGTACTTAGACTTTAACTTGGGCCAAAAAGAACTTTGGTTTTCTTTTGAATTTTTTTATTATGGTAAAAATATAAAACAGTAAGTTTACCTTTTTATCCCAGTCTGTATCTTTTGAGTTTGGGAGGTAATTTTTAATTTTTCTCCAAATAAAGATGCTGTCTTATGTGGGGAAAAAGTTTACCTTTTTAACCCTTTTTTGGGGGGGGTTGTTTTTCTTTTTTGGAAGTACTGGAATTTGGACTCAGGGCCTCCCATTTGCTAGCCATGCCCCTAGCCCTTTTTGCTTTAGTTATTTTTCAGATAGGGTGTCCATTTTTGCCTGGCTGGCCTTAGACCACTATCCTCCTACCTAAGACCTCCCTCACAGCTGGGATCACAGGTGTGTGACACCACACCGGGCTTGTTTGTAGAGACAGGGTCTCGGGACTGGAGATGTGGCTCAAGCAGTAGAATACTCCACAGCATGATACCCTGAGTGCAAACACCAGTACCACCAAAAAAATAAGTAAAAAAAAAGAGGGTCTCGCTAACTCTTTGCCTGGGCTGGCCTCAAGCCACACTGCTCCTGATCTCTGCCTCCAGAGTAGCTGGGATTACAGAGGTGAACCAGTATGCCCAGCTTATCTTCTTATCCATTTCTAAGTACAATAGACAATCTTTAAATAGTACTGAAGATGGAGAATAAGGGCCTTTAACTCTATCTGTAATATTACAGTTCTTTTAGATTGAAATTATCTGAAGCAAATAATAGCCCAATTATTAATTCTGTGCATTGAAAAGCACACAGGTGTTTGTTCTGTATTTTCTCACTGCTAATTCTGTATTTTAAAACAAGTAACAAAAGCCCATAAAGAAGTATAGATTCTGCTGGGCATGAAAAGGAGGTAAAAATGACACAAAACAGGTAATCTAAGAGTTTACCCTTACTCAGGGGTCTGCTCAGTCCCAGGGTGAGCAAGGCACTCACCCTCATCGACCTTCCTCACAGGACCCAAGGGAGGGAGGCCAGGTTGGAGTGCCAGGTAATGCTCCAACGCTGTCCTCCAGAGGGTTTATGAAATGCACATTTTTTCAAAGCCAAACACTCCTTTATCCTCCCTCTAATCAGACCATACATGTACACACACACAAACAAACACGCAATCTCAACATAATTATGAAGAAACTGAGCACCTAGTTCACATGTTCATAAAATTCAGAGTTGGAAGAATCTTGAGGAAAAAACACCTTTTTTTGTGTTACTGGGGTTTGAACTCAGGGTTTCACACTTGCTAGGCAGGTACTCTATCACTTGAGCTAAACCCCCAGCCCCCCGTTTTTATTTTTTAATTTTTTTGTTTGTTTGTATGCTTTGTTTTGTTTTGTTTTTGGTGGTGGGGACTGAGCCCCACCTAAGCCTCATGCATACAAGGCTAGTACTCTACAACTGAGCCACATCCCAGACCATTCTGTATTCTTACAAGTTAAAAAAAACTATCTTAGTAAGTGGTAATGGCTAGAATTATAAAATACGGCTTCTGGGGGGTATGGGAGCAGGAAAAGTTATGACAGAACAGCTGGGAAACTCTAACTCAGTTAAGAGTTTGAATTCTCCCTGGATGTGGTGGTATAGCCTGTGATCCCAGCAGTCTGGAGGCTGAGGCAGTAGTTTGAGGCCAGCCTGGGCTACACAATGAGACCCTGTCTCAAAGAAAACAAACAAAATCTGAATTCTCTCAAATGTAGGAATGTTACCAATTATCACCAAGTCAATTTCAAATCTCGTTTTGTGTGTGTGTGTGTGTGTGTGTGTGTTTTTCCTTCCCTTTGGCTGTACTGGAGTTTGAACTCAGGGCACGTATTCTACCACTTGAGCCATGCTCCAAGCTCTTTTTTTGTTGTTTTTTTTTTTAAGTTATTTTCAGGTAGGATCTTGAATTTTGTCTGGGGTTGGCCTCAGACCTTTATCCTCCTATGCAGGCCTCCAACATAGATAGAATTACCTTGTTCAACCTATGAGTGTTACAGATGAAAAGGACCTTGTCTGAGGCCACTATTGTGTCTATGGCCAAGGAAAAGAACACATAATGCATGGCTTTACTGTCATTACAAACATGCATGTGTTCGTGAACTGCCTCTGTTATGGTGCCTGTTCTACTAACATTGTGATGTCCCTCCCTAGAGGAAAAAGTAACCAAGGAGGCCTTCCCTGTATCACTAGCAGCTCTGGGCCTGTTCTCTCCCAAGTCTTCATTAG